CGGACACTGCCGCTGCGGGAGCCCCCCGGACTGATCCACTGGGGGAGTCCCCCCGGACTGATCCATTGTTGTGAGGCCCCCAAAAAACCACGGGCAGCCCCCCCAAAAGACCGTAGGGAGCACCCCCCAGACTGATCCATTGTGGGGAGCCCCCCTGCCCCCCACATGAACTGATTGATTTTGGGGAGGCCTGTCCCCCTCATTGGCTGTTCCAAGTGGCCCCCCCGAACCTCCCCCCGGGACCACCTTGTGAACTGTTTGACCCCCACCCCCTACCCCCAAATCGGGGGGGCCCTGAACTGCGGGGGTGGGGGGCAGGGGCTGTAACTTGGGTGCTGTTCGGTGGGGAGGTCAGCGGCACCCACCTGAGCCCCCCCCGAATCTTGGGGTTCTCCTGTCCTGTGTCACCCCCTCGCTTTGTTCTGGGCCCCCCCATCGCCCCGCTGTAGAGCCGCCCCCCTTCAGCCCCCCGCGCTTTCTTTTGTGTATGAATAAAGGAGCGGGACCCCCCAGCTGGTCCCCCCTTCACTTCGTGTCTCGCGTCCACCCCGGCCCCCCCGCTCCAGGGTCGGGTTTCGATTTGCTCCCCCCCGGTGCCCATGAAACCCGAGCCGGGGCCGGGGGGGTCGCGGCCCCCCACCCCCTGCGGCCGTCACTCACCCTCCGCGGTCACCGCGAATGTCAGATGTCGGTCACCGTCGATGTTGAATGTCGCGACCCTCGGGGTGACGATCCGGTTACCGCGGCGGGGGCGGGGGCGCGCGGGGGCACGAACGCACAGATCCTGAGACCCTCGGACACGCGGGACGCCCCCCGGGCGGTTTTGGAGGGCGGCACGCGAGGGAGGGGTGAGGGCAGCGGGTGCGGACGCCCCCGTGGGGGAAACACGCACACCCACCGGGAGCCTTGGGACTGCCCCGGACACCTGGGGCGCCCCCGGGACTGCCCCGGGCCCTCCGGACCCCGCGGGCGGGTTTGGGGGTCCGGGGGGTCGCCGGGGGGCTCGGACCCGGCCCGGCCGCCAGGGGGCGCTGTCTGACCCGCCGCCGCAAATGACGGAACCGGGAATGGGGCGGGGCCGCCAGGGGGCGCTGCCGGGGCGCGGCGATGCTCGGGGCCCCGCCCCTCATGAATAACCAATGAGCGGGGCCGCTGCACGGCGGGGCGGGGGCGTGGCCTCCCGAGAGCTTCGCCCCGCCCCTCATGAATAATGAAGGACCCGCGCGCTCATAGCGGCGGGGGCGCTGCTGCCGCCGCCTCCAGCCCGGAGACCCCCCAGACCCGGAGCCCCCCCGGACCTCCCAGCCGGGTGCAGCCTCCCCAGAGCCCCCCGACCCCGGTGCCCCGAGCTCCGCAGGCCCCGGAGCCCCCCAGCCCCCGACGCCCAGGGACCCCTCAAAGCCCCTCCGACTCCGCGGCGACATCCCCCCCCATCACTGTCGTCATGTCGCGACCGATGACCGACGAGGACCGGCGGCGGCAGATCAGCGTGCGGGGCCTGGCGGGGGCCGAGAACGTGGCGGAGCTGAAGCGCAACTTCAACCGGCACCTGCACTTCACCCTCGTCAAGGATCGCAATGTCGCGACACCGCGCGATTACTACTTTGCGCTGGCCCACACCGTGCGCGACCACCTGGTGGGGCGCTGGCTGCGGACACAGCAGTACTACTACGAGAAGGACCCCAAGGTGGGGGAAAGGGGGGTCCCGGAGGGGCTGAGGGGTGTCTAGGGCTGTGCACCCAACAGTGCTGCTACGAGAAGGACCCCAAGGTGGGGGAAAGGGGGGTCCTGGGGAGGTCTAGAGAGGTCCTGGGTGGTTCTGCGGGGACTGGGGGGGCTTCTGAGGGAGGTCTTTGGGCACTGTGCACCCAAGAGTGCTACCATGAGAAAGACCCCAAGGTGGGGCAAAGAGGTGTCCTGGGGAGGTCGGGGGGAGTCTGAGGCACCCTGGGGGGGTCTGGGGGCTGCGCAGGCAGCAATACTGCTATGAGAAGGACCCCAAGGCGGGGGAAAGGGAGGCCCTGGGGGGATCTAGAGAGGTTCGGGGGGGCCTGGAAGGATCGGGGGGGGGGTCCTTGTGGGGGTAGCAACAGTGCTACTGTGAGAAGGACCCCAAAGTGAGGGGAAAGGAGATTCTGGAAGGATCTCGGGGGTCCTTGGGGGAGTAGCAGCAGTGTTACTATGAGGAGGACCCCAAGGCACTGGGAGTCTGGGGGGAGCCGACCGGGGGGGGGGCAGGTTGG